GTTTTTTTATGAAAATTTTAACAAAATGACATGTTTGATCATTTTTACAAAGTACAAGGGCATGTTTGATGTAAAAAAATAGTAGAGGGGCATGTTTGATAAAGCGTCATAGTAGAGGGGCATATTATACCTATAACCCTAAACGAAAATATACATATTTGACAAGCTTTATTTTATTAATTTTACATATAGTAATATTATATTTACAGGGCGGTTATTACCCGCGAGCCATGGGTAAGGGGACGGAGTTGTGAAACCCTACCCATGGCTAGTGATGGCAATGGGGCGGATCGGGGCGGGTACCTCAATATTCATACACCGCCCCATGCTAGTGCGGATCGGGGCAGGTAATACTCACACGGGTATGGGGCGGGGCGGGTAATACCCGCACTTACATGTTATTTACAAAAATATACGTAAATTTTATATTCTACGATAAAAGCACTAATTACATGTTATTTACAAAAATATACGTAAATTTTATATTCTACGATAAAACAAAAGGGACAATACTTTATGAATGAAAAATAATGATAGTAGAATAGGTAATTGAGTCTAACTAGTTGAAAGATCAAGTCGGCTAGTTGAAGAAAGTTTAAAATATGATAAATATGAATAAATACGGTAAGAAATTGAGATAGATAGAATAACCAAGAACAGGGCGGGACGGGGCAAGGCAGGTCGGAAGTAGATAGTCATACCCCACCCCATGCTACTGCGGGTAGAGTAATACCCATCCCATCACAGGTCAGGTCGGGTAATACCCGTCAAGGCGGGTTCATATTGTCATCCCTACCCATGGCTATGAGACAGGGTTTGAATTTTTGTAAATTGGGATGGACATAGTTTAGGAGAACTCGTCCGGAACTTGCATCATTGCCCTTCTTTTTTTGTAAAGGTTATGATTATGCGTTTTCAATTCATGTTATATTTTTTCGAACAATTTTTTTTTTGTTGTTGTTATATAAATGGTTATTCATGAGTGTTATGACCATTAATTAAGAATACAATGTCCAGTCATTAATGAAAGGTGATAAGAATTTCAAAAATTGAAAAATAATTTGATGTCACCTTAATATCATACGAAATTAACCTTCTTAAATAATTTGAGAAATTTATAAAACACTTCGTAAACACGTTATATTCGAATGACATTCCGACCAACAAGTCGGACGCTAAATTAGCCCCTAAACATGAGAAAAAAAGGGATGAAGAAGGAAATGAGTAATTGACACATAATCAGAAGGGCAGTAATCTATAGGCCTTGGCGTGCATGTTGTGCAGATCGATAGATCTTTGGATTGTTTGGTGTCAGAGTGAAGCCATCAACAGCGAAAAGGCAATCTAGTTTCCATCGAAAAACACTTGCATATTAAGGCAATCTAAGGGCACCTCTTCCCAGCTATGCTGCTGTGGACAATTCATAAACTACGGCTGTTTTTAATTATCAATAATATATTGCATAATAACAATCATTTATTGGAAGCCGGATTTGTATTTGAGTACTCCTCCTTCAATAATTAAAGACAAATAATGTTTCCTTTTCTTCGCTTGTTTTGTTCCATCCATGTTACACTTACACGTTCCATCATCCATGTATGTTTCAGAAAAGACAAGATATAGAAGAAGTCAATTTCCCTTTTTTTCTGAATTTTATTTCCGTATTAGTATAGGTATAGCTGAGTGTTGATATGACTAAAATGGGATTATCTATGTTCAACTGGAAGTCACGAGGTCTCGCTGTCTGGTCAGAAAGTCGGTACATGAGCTTATACATGAGGAAGCAAAGTACTATATATACTTTCAATCTCTTTGTAATATGTAATCTTCTCAAGTATAATAAAATTATCTTTTCTTGTCCATGAACATAACTAACATACATCGTGTTAGCGAATCACGTAAATCTATGCGTTTTTTTGTTTTATTTACATTATCTATTATCTCATCCACTCTAAATAACTCAATGTTTAATCACTCTCTCTGTTGCCTGAAAAATTCTAGAGTTTCACATTAAAAAAAACTATATTCTTATGTTTAACAGATAAAGCTTAGGTCTTAGTTCTCTAAACCTCAATATTAATTCAATTAAAGACAACAATCACCAAGAGCAAGATTTAATCTCTTGTGATAGAGTTTTCTAGCACCATAGTCATGCATTTTGTGTTGGTCATTTTACTGGTGCTTATATGGTATGAAAGTAATTGAAGAAAGTAAAATAAGTTTCATTGATCTATTGATCTATCATGTGATAGTTCGATGTTATTCACTTTTGTAAATTTATGAAAGTAATTAAGCATGATCTATCAGAGATTGCTAATGTATTTTTCTTTTCTTTGTTGTGGCTTTTTGTGGCACCCGATATTGGTCATCCCGCATACTACGTCGAAGGAAACTACACTTGCTGACGGCATAGTTAGTAAATACGGTACAAAAAAGTTACGTATAAAATATGTACGGGTATTTTACTTCGTTTCTAAACTAATGTTACGTTTAATAGTAAGTTAATAGTCATAAATATATAAAATTAATTATTTTTAAAATTAAATAAATCTATAAAAAATAATAAACGTGTGATACGGGTTTTACACGTGTTTAGTACGGGAGCCATCAAATTAACGGAAACAAATGAAACGGCTTGACAATAATATGAATACGGAAGTTTAAAACTGATAGAGTACATACGGAAACATATATGTGTATTAAACATAGTATTTACTAACTATGGCTGACGGGACTATTTTGGAGATCTTGGAGTTTTTTTTTCTCATATCAGTGTCGTGTCTTTGCTTCTCAGAAGTTCTTTAGAGCTGCTCAAATAGGGTTTGCCTTGGGGAAAAAACATTTTGATGGCAAGGAATGTATTTTTCTTTTCTTTGTTGTGGCTTTTTGTGGCACTCGATATTGGTCATCCTGCATACTACGTCGAAGGAAACTACACTTGCTGACGGCATAGTTAGTAAATACGGTACAAAAAAGTTACGTATAAAATATGTACGGGTATTTTACTTCGTTTCTAAACTAATGTTACGTTTAATAGTACGTTAATAGTCATAAATATATAAAATTAATTATTTTTAAAATTAAATAAATCTATAAAAAATAATAAACGTGTGATACGGGTTTTATACGTGTTTAGTACGAGAGCGGAGAGCCATCAAATTAACGGAAACAAATGAAACGGCTTGACAATAATACGAATACGGAAGTTTAAAACTGATAGAGTACATACGGATACATATATGTGTATTAAACAGAGTATTTACTAACTATGGCTGACGGGACTATTTTGGAGATCTTGGAGTTTTTTTCTTCTTATATCAGTGTTGTGTCTTTGCTTCTCAGAAGTTCTTTAGAGCTGCTCAAATAGGGTTTGCCTTGGGGAAAAAACATTTTGATGGCAAGGAATGATAGTTTTGGATGGTCAACAATTATAGACTGACTATCCACTTATCTATTTAAGAAAAAGACAAAAGCTCATCTTTTATTTTAAAAAATAACAGTTTGTTTTCACGTATACATTTTGTTATTACATAGACTGAGTTGAAGGATGATTCGCCATTTTACTCTCTCGATTATCCAAAAGACATACGAATTTCTATTCTTTGCTCGGGAAAGGGCAGAATGACTGTGATTTGTCTTCCTTCAATCCATTACTTGGTTTTAACATTTTCATCTAATCAGGAAACATCCAAAGAAATATCAAATGTTTGGATGGCGATAGATGGACAAAACATTCGATATATATCCAATTCTCTGAAACCAAGCATCACTTATTGAAGAAAATTTATATTTTTTAAATAAAAAATATTGACAACACAGTATTGTCAAGAAAAAAAAAAAACATGATCCCATTATATAATCTCCAAACTATCTTAATTTACAAGACGATCATGTGTAGTCCGATGACTAAATCCATTTAACTAAACAGTAATTAGCATTTTTCAAATGAGATTTGATCCATTGGTGTAAGTATGTATTTATTTTATGTTGTTGGAACGAATACTCTGCATTCACATATTTTGGATACACATTATCACATAATGTATATACCGGTTGTGAATCTCGGAATGCTAAAAAAACACGAGATGTAATTGCCAATTGCTACCTCAAATACTTTTTATGCAATATTCAGAGAGTACTTCTATCAAAAGTGTGGAAAAATATAATTACCAATGTGATTAGGACAGAGCAGTAATTAGTGTCCTCCTTAATCAAATTGGGATAAAAGGAAAGAAGAGAAGGTAGAAATGACGTTTCCCTCTTCCTTCCAGCACCCATGCTGCTAATTAATTAACCTCGTTAATTTTCTATCTTGTTACTGACTAATTATTAACCCTTCCGATATTGTTTTCAAGGGAAAGGCACCGCCACCAATAAAGAAAGAAAGGCGGGAGGGGGAAGGAGGGAAATTCTTTCACATTTGAAAAATGAAAACATTGCCTTAATTAACCCAGCCGAGTGGAAAAAGAAGCTTCTCAGTTCTCACTTCTCAGGCGATTTTTACGGTTTTACTGGTTGACTTCTTGTTGGGCTGTCAAAAACAGGAAACTATTATTCACTACTTACCATGTTTTGGGTTTCACGTTTATGCTAGGTCCTTAAATGGGCCGCACTGCCCATATTATTATTATTAAGTTAAGGAAAGTGAAAATAATGAAAACGGAAAATTAAAAATACTACAAAAAAAAAAGCCTCTCAAAATTGTATTTTAGGCAGCTAAAAAAGACATACAATATTTTTTCAGGATGGTGATTGGTCAGTGGGGAACTTTCATCGAAAAGAAAAAATCGGAAAACATTAAAGATTTAACCCGGCAGCGGCCAGGGCCCACCCAGCTCAGCTCACAAGTAAAGAAGAAGAAGAAGAGCATTAGGCCGCTTTCTGTGTCATTATTCTCCTAATCGCTTCTCTATAAATAACTCTCCCCCACCACTCCTAACCATCTCCCCCTAATTAACACATAATTCTCTCTCTCTCTCTCTCTCTCTCTCTATCTCTCTCTCTCTCATCAGCCAACGAACAGAAGAAGAAGAAGAAGGAAATGGAGGATTTGGGATCCATGTGGAGCTACCAGGAGGTGGGGATTTCCTCTCTCTTCCTCTCACTCTCCCATCTTTTCTGGATTCTCCAACTCTGTTCTCTCGCATTCTGCAAATTTTCCACGTTTCCCAGGCTTCGAAATCAAGGGATGTTCATTTTCCCGAGCAAAACAGAGTCATCATCACTCTGTATTTCTTTCTTCTCTGAAACAGAGTCGGGTCCTTCTCTGCTTCCTCTGTTTTCTAAATCCCCCATTTGTTTTGTTTTTTCTTCAGCCCCACCGTCCGACACGTTCCCTATATTTCCTTTTGGGCTCGTTAGCAACACCATTGTTCAGATTGTTTTTCATTTTTCCTGATCCCCATTTCGGTTCTTCTTTTTTTCTTCTTCCTTGATTCCCGAACGTGGAAATGTTCTGTCCTGTTATGGACATGCTTCACTTGAAATTTTGGGAGTACTAAGGATTTGTCCCCTTTTTTCAATTTCCCCCCTTTCTAAACTTAGTGCGGGGAACCGACGTCGATGTCACTCATTCGGTGGCCTAAAATAAAAATTCCCCTTTCAATTTCTGTATCCATTTCAGTTGACCCCTACTTGTGATTTCTCCAATGGCAGAGCTCTGAAACTTAATTTCCTTCCTTGGTTTTTTTTTTCAGAGCATGGACGAGGTAAAACAGAGCCTTCTGTACAAGACCCTGGAGCTGGAATCAGTGAAAGCGGAAGCCGACGAGAAATTGAGCAAGTACAAGGAGGAAATGAGCCAGCTGATCGACCTCCTGAAGCTTGCTTACCAAGAAAGGGACGAGGCCAAAGACCAGCTCCAAAAGCTTCTCAACAAGGTCATGCCTTCTGAAACCAACCCAATTCCCCACCAGCAGCAACCAGATAGCCCGATTGTGATTCAGGGGAAAGCCAATTCGAGCATAACCGAGTCCAACAGCCTCTCCGAAACTTACAACCCGCAGTACTCCCACAGCTCTTCCCCTGTCGATTCCTTCTTCCACGACGCCGCCGCCGCCGCCGCCGTGTCCTCGCCGGAATTCTCAAGCATCAACATTGCAGCAGCTCCCCCTGTTATGGCGGCGGCTAAGGTTGACCCTTTCGATGCCGTGATTGATCATCTGGTGAAGGGGAAAGCTCTGCCGCAGCAAGGGAGCCTTCTACAGACTGTGATGGAAGCAGGGCCGCTCCTCAACACGCTTCTCGTCGCCGGGCCGCTGCCGCGGTGGAGGAATCCGCCAAAGCTCCAGACTTTCAAGATCCCTCCCGTTTCGATCAAGGGATGTGATGGTTCTGGCAAGACCAGCGCCGCTGCTCAATTGCAGCAGCAGAAGGCGTTTTTCGGTTCTCAGACTTGCTCTGCTGCTTCCATGCTGAATTTCGGGAATGGGGCTGCTTCTGGTTCTGGGTTCGGGTCGGGTTGGAGTTTGGGCTCCGGTGGCGTCAGCCAATTCCCGGCGGGAAAGAGGCAGAGATTTCAATGAGGCCTTTTTTTTCTGTCTTCTTCTTGTTTTGGAAGAGTTGCCGGACTTTCCGCCCCCGGAGTTAGTTCTCTGTAAAGAGGAAGAGAAAGTTCAGAGTCAATAGAATTTTTACCGCTGCTAGTTGTGGATCCTGTAAATGAAACAACTTTATTATTCTGTGACATAGGTGGTCTCTATTTATTTAGTTAGCTGGTAGCTCTGGTAATGGTTTCTCTTCTCTCGTTTGCTCTCTTTTCAGCCTTTTTTTGGAGGCTTCCATTCTTGTAAACATGGACCAACTACTACTACATTTTAGTTCGTCCTTTCATTCAGCTTAATTTCTTCCCCAGATGCATTTGTGGGATAAATTTTTTTAAAATATTGTATTTTTTTTTATTGATTTATGTCAACCACATGGTGTTGACTTTTGAGTGATACATGCTAATTTACTAACGCGATCAACTAAAATAGCATATCGTATTTGGATAATTATTTTAAAATCGTGAATATTTTAGGGGTTTCGAAAAGTTAAGGTAAATAGTCTTTTAGAAAGTTTCAAGGCAAAATAGGATATTAACCCTTCAAAATATGTCAAAAAGTAATGAAGTATGGTGTTTTCCACTACTCTAAACTACGATGACCTAAATCATAATTCTAAAAATCTTATACGCTAGGTTCAATTTAATAAAAAATAATGATTGATAGCTCTGATTCGTGCAAATTTCTGGGTGAACAAAATACAAGACCAAAAAATACCACCCTGGTATGGGGTGGTATCTTGTGGTACAAAATGTTGAAAGTCGTAAATGACCATTAGTATACTCCTACTATTATGTATTCAATCATCCTATGGTCTTGGTATGTTTATACTATCATGATAAGTTTTTTCATAGCCTATGATATGTTCTTATTTAATATCAGTCAATACCATATAGTATATACTAGTAAAAAATTACTCAACTTTTCAATTAATTTGATTTAACTGTGCAAATAATTTAAATTCCTACTTAAAACGAGTGAGAAAGCGTCTGTTAAATATTAAGAGAAAAAATTAATTAAAGACTTCCCAGAAGAGAAAATGGACCCTGATATGGCGGATAGTGATTGTGTTATGGCTCATCACAAGGTTATGCGTGAGAGCCGTTCCCCCGGATCTTACATATGGTTTTGGGTTGTTATCAATGGCAGATCCAGGGGGTGGCCACCCCCCGGCCATGGCCTAGTCCTGTTCTAGATCCGGAGCTAGTATAGTTCTTATAAGTTTGTCGATTTTAGCCATTCGGCCCAATGTTATTTTATAATATAATTGTGTGTAGTTAGGAAAATAGGTAAGATGAACATATTCAAATCACAACTCTAATTTAAGCCTAGAAATTCTAGGTCCAATGATTCTCGTCTAAAGAAAACAACTAATGAAATCTGAAATTCTAAAAGTCTAAAACATAAAAGACTAACAGAAATATGAGGTTTGTTCACTTGAAAAATGACCAGAGAGAAGCTGGTGGAAATAAGAATGGATACACAATATAAATTGATTAGTCGGTTGATTTGTCTATTGTTGACATTGTTCGTTTCAACAACTACTATGGAGAGAACCTTTTCAATTATGGAACAGGTGAAAACTGATTTACGCAACAAAATGAACGATGAATTTCTCGCTGATTGGTTAACTATTTTATTTGGAGAGAGTAGTATGCTTTTGGTATGGATGTAGATTCATTATTGATGAATTCGTTATATTAAAAGATCGACATGTACAATTGATATGGTAAAAAAAATACAATTTTTTTAAAATATCTAATTTTCTAATGAAATGCGACCTAGTGCTTTACTACATTCTCGATCCGCGGGTCGTTGTTATAAGTTAACATTCCACTTATGCTCATTGAAGTAATTAGTCAGAGAATTATACCGTCCATTCTGATCAATTAAACTGCTTATCTAGCTGCTATACTTTTTGTTCATCTAAATGGGACCCCTTAATATCGTTTTTTTAATTTACCGTTGCTTTGGCGTTCTTCCACACCTTTTTTTTTCTTTCTTTTTTCTTTCTTTCGAAAATGAGAGCAGGAGCAAATATAGCTGGAGGTACGCGGATGGGTAAAGGTGATGAACCACGACGGCATTTAGAGCGGATGCTGCGGCAGGTTATGGGCTATTATTGGGCTTTACATTCTTTTGGATTGACTGACACCTGTCTATGCGGGAGAGTGTGAACAAGATAATAATGTTGTTATTAGACTACGAGTAGTGTGAATGTTGAATAGTTTTGTAACATAGTACGGGTACTATGAGGCAGTTTGTTATAGAGTGTTCTTTCAAATTCGTTTGTGTTTCTATGTTAAGACTCCAAACTAAAAATTAGGTATGTTTTTATTAGTGTGAGAGTTTAAGTAGGTCTTTGTATCCTATATAAGCTCGTTAAAGTTTCAGTTACAAAATAGGCAAATATTCATCTTCAAAAGGACACCGCTGCCTGCAGGTGTTGCTGTTCTTTGTGGCTTGTTACCTGTTTGTGAACTTTTGATGCTTTCTAATTAATGACTCTTCGGAGGGATTAGTTGCCAGCCCCGAGTGCCCTTGACCCTTGGAATTTCTTCCTTCTCGGATGTCTGAAAGCTTCAGTCAACGCAGTTCTTAGCCCACAGTAGTGCTCATCATTAACAAAAAAGATAAGACTAATATTCATCGTATTTTAATTTCTCAATAGTTGTATGTTTGGTTTCGAATTTTACTGGATCTACCCAAAGGGATATGTAATGTAACACTATATTGCTCTGAATGTTTCCCGTGCACTTCGTACGTTTAGTTCCTTCTTTACCAAGGAAACTTGGTGTAAACTAGGGTGCATAACTAGAATTTTGTCTCTTAATTTTGGGAGGGGTGAAACTAAAAGCATTTTCCTTATTTCCCCTACTTTATTTAATATTGTATTTTATTCGTCTCGATTTCGAATTTTATTTTATTTTTTTTTTTTTACAGGTGGAACGAAGTTTTTTTTTTTTTTTTAGCAATAGATAATGGCATTACCAAATCAAAGATATCAAAGTCTTACAAACAAAGTCTACAACCCAAAACGAAACCAACAATCAAAGTCAAAACTCTCAACAACAGCAGGTAACAAAGAAAGGGTCTTCCTGGCTACATCATGAGCCACCCGATTGCCACTCCTGCCAACGAACGAAACACCAAAACCACGATACTGTTGCCGCAAACCTTCAATCTCCTCAAGAATTCGCCCACCCTTCAAGTCCCGAGTATCCCGGCGCTGAATCTTCTCAATAACGCTCTTGGCATCTCCATAAAACCACACTTCATCCAGCCCCTTCCCTGAGCACCACCGGATTGCATCCCGTAATGCAACCAACTCCACTAGGAAAGGATCCACAAGACCTGCATAATGAAATCCCTTCACCATATACACCCGCCCCATACCATCACGGACAACCAAGCCCCCCGCACCATGAGACCCCGCGCAACCGCCCCATCCACATGACAAGAAAACGGCATCACCCCCTGCTGTACCCGACCCTGCCCCCTACCTCCTCCCAACACTCGATGCTGCGGCTGCACTGTCGGAACTTGCCCCGGCTGGATAAACGCCAACCATTCCTTCACCTGAGCCTCGTACTGGCGGACTAAGCACGGAATATCATCGTGATCTACTCAATGATATTCATTTTTATATATTTTTGATAATTTTTGCATACCATTCGTTACCACTCTATACTACCTTCATTTTTAATTCAAAATTTTGAAAATTTGGCACAGAAGAAACAATTTCATCGTGATCTACAAATTTCTAGTAATTTTTTTTTCAAAACCAAACATATTACCCTTTACCACTCTGATATGATAGACGGTGGTAAAAGGTGAGAAATGATGGTAAGTATATTTCTACCATCATGCACATAATCATTCTAAAACTATGTTATTTTCACACCATCATGGTTCATGCCATCATGGGATATCTAGTACTAACCATGTCAAAAATCACGTCTCAAGAGTTAGCGTTTACCAAATTTACATGTTGCTAGAATGCATGGGAAAACACGACCAATCGTCTCAACTATCTGTAGACAGCGGCTTTGTTATCCAGCTCCAGCGTAGCTTTCAGCTGGTGGCAGCCACAACCCACAACCATCCCCCAGCTTGCCAAGCGCGCCCCAGTTCGGCGACGCCATCAGGCACGAGTTGACATCCGTCTTCCTGTAGGTCTATGTTAGCTTTGTGGACAACTGTTATTGTAGGAGATTTCTGCAATCCACTACCAGTACGACTGTGGAACCCTCGTAGTCTATAGGCCTGTATTGGTATAGCACAGTGCGCAAATAGCAGCAGAACTAACTCTAAAACTAGTGAAACAACAGTCTACATTCGGAGGTAACACAAAGGTGATTGAGATTTGAGAGCGACTTAATGGGAGTTTATCCATGGCTAGATTCGGAACAAGTGAACTTATAACAGTTGAAGCCTAGATTATCCATAACCAGTAACAAAGGCTTACAAACTCCAATCTCGTTTTGCATCATCATAACAAAACTGTTGTACTCTAACACAAGATATAAAGCAAAACCCTTAGAAATCAAACGGGCAGGAAACAAACTTATATGATGCCAATCTTGTTTGCCACATCCAATGCATCGTAGTCTGGGGTCAACCTCACATATGCCTTCTTGGTACCATCAGGCCTGCAATGAAAAATAGACCAACAATGACACCTTGCAACGCATATGATGTCGAGTACATAGTAACTACAAATCTCACATCTGAATGCACCAAGTTCAGAACGCTAAACAAAGCTAATAGCAATTATGGTTACTGATCAAACCCAATAAACTTCTCCTTACGAGGCACCAGGCATAAATGTTATATAACATGCATCATGCTATGGGTTTTTTCTCCCTAAAGGAAAATCACTATATGCATTGTACAAAGAAATTTCCTTGAGCTTCCATAAATTCAAACTCCAAACTAACTGTGATTCAGTTGATCAAACCACAATTTACACACATTCATACTTATTTCAACGATACATCAGGAAAGCTTCAGTTGCTGCAAACTAATTGACAACGCAAAGAAAAATATTCAGGGTGTTATCATGTTCTTCTCTTAGTATCTACTCTTTTGTCCATAACTCTATATTCTGATGACAGGTTTTACGCATACTTGTAAACAGAAGACTTGGGGGGGATAACACTCATCAGAGTTTTTCAAATTGAAGAAATACCTGATGAGGGTGTTGACTTTCTTGGCCTGGATATCATACATCTTCTTGACAGCAGCCTTGATCTTCTTCTTGTCAGCACGGATGTCAACAATGAAGACCAGAGTGT